TGTCTCAATTACCAGTCGAGTGCCATTAATCTCTGCTCGCTCTCTTTTGGCTCAGGGGTCGGCCTGATGGATGCAGGCCCGCGACCTTTGCCCTCAGCGGCAGGGGGAGCCGGATGTTACGACCCCCCCCCGGCGGGCCGGCAGAGGTGAGTTTAAGTACTGTAGTACAGCACTCAGCCTCAACAACAGACAAGGGAGCTGGGGGGGGGGGGGGGTTGTAATGTGTCTACACACTCAGTCAAGCATGAGTGCATCCAGTGAAGTGGCACCATGGAAGGCACATGCAGCTTCTGCACGCATGCTTGCATGTGAGCACACACAAACACACACAGAGCAATGTTTCTCCTCCTGACACACCAGAATAGCTCCGCCGGGGGTTTCTTGCACTCACAGCTCGCTTCGTTATATATTAAGAAAACAAAAACAAAAAAAACAAAAACAGGGGTAGAGTCAAGTGTGTTTACAGAGCAGAATCTATCACACACACACACACACACACACACACCCAGGAGTGTTTAGCATGTACTCAGTGAGAGAGGCCTTTGTTGTTTTCCTCCCAGTAAGCAGATTGAGCTGCATGGCAGCAGCAGGGGTGTGTAAGATGTACACAGACAGCGGGGTGTGTGAGTGGAGAGGCACCTCCACTGATCTCCTGTGTCGTGTGATGATGTGTGTGTGATGTGTGTCTCAATCCAGCGCTGATCCCCCTGAGTCAGCCCTGTCAGTGATATGAGTCTCTCTCTCTCTCTCTCTCTCTCTCTCTCTCTCTCTCTCTCTCTCTCATAACAGCCAGCCACTAACGCTGCACTCCTGAATTATTCATTCAGCAGAGGGTCACACGGCATAATGAGGACTTTACTCTCATTCTGGATGTGATTGTGATGCTGCTAATCTGCATTTAGCACAGAGAAAGAGAGAAAAGGAGGGGGACGGGGGGGGGAGGTATGGAGAGAAAGCAGGAGGAGGAGGAGGAGGGAGGATGAGCACTGATGAACTTAATTGCTGTGAGCAAACAACCTCTGAAAAGAGTCACGCCATCATCCAGAGATGAGAAAGTAAACAATTAATTATCATCGGACAGAGGGAGTCATAAAACAAATGTTTGAACGTGACTAATATCCAGGAGTCGGCTGATCCCCCCCCCCATTTCAGAGGTGACAATACACTCAATGTAACAATGATTCACTCATTTGACACACTAATAGTCATTAGCTCTAATATGATATGGTTTAACAAGTCCAAGAGGGTTTGGATGAATGCTATATTATGCAATGCTGCATATTCTTAACAACCTGTAATGCCCAGTTATGCTGAAATAATTCATATTATAACCCATATTCTAATCCTATGCAGAAAGAGGCGTGTTTTCGTTATGTCGACATGCTTCCTACAGAGACTCCTTGGGGTACAATCAGCAGGCTACTGTTGCCCCCTGCTGGACATAAAGGGGACATACCCATTTTACCGCAATTCAATAAAGATTAGAAATACCACACATATTTACAAGTTCTAAAGTCCATTAAACATACACCCTACCTTTGTAAATATAAAACTTACATTTTACACCATGTGATGGCAGCAGGACCCACAGCACTACATCTGACAATAGGCCTTTTTTCACAGCAGACATTTTTGACTTGCACACCGGGAACCAGCTCACCTAAATGGAATGCAGTCGGTTGCCTGCACCTTGCCTGCTATGGAAGGCCAAAACGTACGCGGTGAATGTCCCCCTCTAAGTTATAGAATGATACATGACTAGGCAGGCAGAACACACGTTGGTTTCCTCTCATACACCGAAATCAAAACACCCGAGGACTCCTCAGAAAAAAACAGCATCTACTGGAAACAACCCTTTGAACTGCAGCTCAAAGAACCGTGGAAGTATCATCTAAAAAAACTACAGCAGTACAGTAGAAGACCCGTGCAGTTACTGCAAACCAACCACCGCACGGTAGACAATGTGTAAAATACAAGTATTGAGAAGCAGCAGCTGCCTTGTTTGGGGGAGCGATGAGATTATTGGTATGCGATTCTGGCGGCGCTCGAGATTGCACTGCATGAGTTGTGGATTTACTTTAGTTGTACGTTAGTATTTCTTTCTTTTCATTTGTGCCTTTATTAAAGAGGAGAATGTATAGATACAGACAGGAAACATGGGGCGAGGGAGAGAGGTATGAAATACAACAAACATCAGGGCCGGAAACAAACCAGGACGCTGCGATTTTATGGTGTGCATCCTAACCACGAGGCAACCAAGACACCCAGGAAGTGAGTGGGGGGGGGGGGGGGTTCAGCAGAGCAGATCATCTTTTTTATAAGGGCATTTTGTTGTCAAGTGACTTTCTGTGAGTCAAATAATCTATATTACTAATACTTCAAAGTTTCCATCGCAAAAAACTAAAGCGCTTTGAATTAAAATTGGAAATCAACTGTAACTTTAAACATTATGAGAGATGAAAAAGCATCAAAAGTCACAGTTGAGGGTTATTCAGGGGAAAAAAAACACTAAGTCCCCAGCCAGTACTAACAGGGATGTTGATGGTTTCTACAGCAGGCAATTCCTCAGCCACAACAGGATTATATGGGCTCTGCTGTGACTAGATAATTGAATTCAGGCATGGCCACAGTGCACTGCATCCAATGATCTCTCTCCCACCAGGGTGATGGGGAGAAAAAATGAATCGCGTTACACTCCGTAGCTTCAGGAGCACAACAATAGTGTTAGTCGACTAGACTTGTAAGTCTATTGTGGCCTTTTAAGTAATGATGTTATTTGTCAAAAAACAATGCCGTCTTCTTCTATGGACCAATGAGCTTGTGAATGACCTCTTTGTAGTAGGAACCAAACATCCTCAACAGGAATACTGCGGCTCATATCACAGCATCTTAAGTTCTCATAGCCTGTACAGCTTTAAAGCAACAGATACAAAAAAAAAAAAATCACGTGTACATTTAGATATAAATTCACGGAGATGAGCGCGAGTGTGCTAGCGTGTGTGGTATTGGAGGGGACATGCATTGAAATGCATTGTGCTGGGAATAAACCACCAAAGCTGCATGTTAATCCTGCCCTGACCTTGTGGAGAATGCGGAGGGAACGGTGTCTGTGGGGCTAAAGATAACACCGCTGCCTTTGTGCCGGAGGAGAACAACACTGCTGATGATGCTGCTTTGTGCTGCTGCTGCTGCTGCTGCTGCCGCCGCCCAAGGTCACATGTGTCCCTTTGTCAATTAACAAGACCTGACAAGGTAGCCTATTGTAAGGTACTGACACTATGATGTACTGATCCGTCTTTTGCTATTTATTGTTTGTGCATTACTCAGGTCCTTTATGATTTTACAATTACTACGCTGCTTTGAATTTACACACGAGACACTAAAACGGATGTTGTCGCTTCGCAGGTTATTCAATTGCTCGACTTGACGTCATCAAACTAGAACGAGAGCGCACACCTTTGCCAAGGCTGCAGAAATAATCCTCCAAGTTTGCCATTTCAACAACAGAGAATGTGCATCAAAAGTACAAGCAGCGACATATGGTCATGGAATAACGGGAGACATTTTGTTCTTTTGAGTAATGCATTGGCAGTTCATGAGTGAACCGTGAAAATATTCTATTTGCTCAAAATGCCCCACCAACCATGTTTTTCACCGAACTTCATTGAAACAACTTTGTAATATTCTGCCATTAAGCCTACAGACAAACAAAGAAACACGTCCTCTTTGGCAGCCGTAAAAGGCTTTCATATTTTATGCTATCAACATGTGAATTTGACAGCTTTAAGACATTTTATTTAAAAAATCAAGAACATGTAATGTGGTCCTGACTAAGATTTATGCCCAAAAAGCTCTTCACCTGTGAGGAACCAAACAGGAGAGACGTCCCATTAATCCCCAGACCAGCGGGATGAATTTGGGTTCAGAAAGCAGAAAGAGCAGCATTTGTCCCTCCGGACTCGTAACTATCGCAGAGGTGCCCTTGAGCAAAGTACCAAAGTGCTGAAGTGGAGCTCCTCAGCGGCCAGCCGATAGGAGTTAGTTATTTCCAACAGATAAGATGTGTGTGTCCTGACCAGCTGGGAGGTGTGAATTACATGTGATGTTTGGTAAACTTCATCATGAGCAGAATTAACAAGAGAAGCTCGGGAATCAGTGAATCCACGTTTCACAGCGGCGGAGGATGAATTAAGGAACAGCCAGAGGAAAGAAGCTGTTTTGAAGTCTACACATTGTAAAATATGGTGTTCTTGATAATCTTACTATTTTCTCATGAACTGCTGCACTCATACAGTTGAAATAAAAACGCCCACCTCCCTGGTATAGAGCTGACTGCTAACAAAAACAGTTGCAGAATAGCGTGGAACGTGCCAAATAAAAGTCATGAATACCTGAGGCCACGGCGTACACTTTTTGAAAACATGTTGCTGTGTATGCAGTGTGAAACTTTGGCAGTTAGTCCCGATAGTCTTGGTTCTTTTGCCATCAAGGCAATAATAAAACATCATTCAAGCATCGTTTTTTAAACACGAGGACACGCAACCACGTTTTCGAGGAAGGATATAATGTTACCGTTGCATCTGCTTGCCATGTGAAGGAGGGGGGGGGGGGTCTGAGCAGGGGGGTCTGCTCTGCTCAGCAAAACCCTTCTGGGATTAAATAATAATTCATTCATTTTGCATCAATCTAATGGAAAGCGGTTAAAGATGCGGTACAAATATCTATGTATATCTACTACTTAGCCCAAAGCAGTAGTACATTCAGAGGCATCTTGGTATAGTTAGCTTAAATACAGTATGGGAAAAATGTGTGTGTGTCAAATTACGAGCTTCCCAGTTACAGAAGGTTGATTTATAACTTGGCTATTTTGAGCACAGCTCAGTGACAAGATGGTAGTATGGGATGGGTATGAATGACCAGTGTGTGCCTTATTTGGTTCCATGTAATTTTAAGACTTTGCGTTCTGAAACATGCGGTGTCCCCGTGAAGCTTTGACTCACAAGGCTTTGTGTTTGTCTTCGGCGAGGATCTGGTCATTAAGCTTCAGCCCGAACCTTTAGAAAAAGATTAGGATAGAAGAATAGATAAACGTCAGTGTGTTTTGGTCAGACGCTGCACAGAAATATGAAGACGTCAGTGAAAGAACAAACAAACAGCTGTTTAGACTTACTTGTTGAGGAAATCTTTGTCCACAACAGCTGAAATGTCAAGCAGGGGATTTCCCATCCCAAAGAGTGTGTTTTCACTGTGGGGGGGGGACAAAAACTTATTGTATTATGCAGACTTCCACTCGCCAGCGCTGCACGAACAGAGCACACAAACAATCTGTTGTAAAACAGAAAATCATCTGTTACTGATTTGTTGAAGTCACTGAAACTTTAAAGAGGGGTGGACCTGTGTTTCACTGATGAATCTGTTACCTGACATCCTCTGTGCCGTCCTCAGCAAATGTAAAACTGAAAATAATAGTTTTGTTTTTTCCCCCCCATCCAGATGGAGATTAGTCAAATGAAAAGAAGGAACTTTGGCACAATGAAAAGATCAAAATAAAGAATTATCTCTGATTGTTTCACTGTGCTCATGTACAGACACGTGTACCATGTGACATTCATTCATAATGCATGCTTAGACTATGTGTTAATTGTATTAGGTATTGGTTCCCTCCATGACCCTTTCATCTAGAATTTGTCAGCAGCGAGATATCAGTGGTCAAAGTCTACGGAGTTCTCTTAACAGGTTACCCAACTTTCACAAAACACAAGACAAAAACACATTGATTCTCTGGTTAAGATCACATGAAGAAAGAACTGCTCTCTTGTGCAATATTTTGAGCTTTTTTTTTTACGTGATCTGCAAGAAGATCCAGACTCAATGAAGCCATCTCAACTTAATCCATCAGCCTAGAGGTCTGACAGACTGCTGTCTTCAACCAACCCACTGAAAGACTGGCAGTGCTGTGAGCACAAAACAGACAATCATAAAAGCTAAATAGTTGGCTGTGGACACACAGGAGGATATTATCATTTGGATCTTACCTTGGAGTTGGCATTATGTCAGAAACGTCAGCAGCCTAACCTGATGATTAGATAAATGGTCAACAGCTTCCTCCTCTCTGTCAAAGCAATGTGCTTTTTGACTACAGGAACTGCTGCACTTTGACCAACAGTGACTGGTTGGTGGAGGACGGGGGCGGGCCTTAGCATCTTCTGGGCATACGGTTGGCTACACACGTTCCAATTGTTGTAAAGCTTTCTGTGCTGCGTTTGGTGCCAATGGGAAAGAAGGTCGACCCTGTTGCAAACACCAATACCAGTGATAAAGTAAAATAAAAAAATAACTAATAAGTGATTTTTTTAACCATACTCATTATGTGTTTATTCAGATACAATTAAATAACCGTGTGAGTTACATTTAGAAAATACAAAGTTTTAGAGTTGTATAATAACATTATATAAACCAGCTTATAACAGCAGCAGAACACATTAGTAATTTAGATTTTGTTGCTTTTTTATATCTTGCAAACAAATTCCCACACGCTGTCTAACGGTACTAGACCACCTGGCACCAAAACATCACAAATAATATAGTTTGAAACTTTATCTACTCGTACCTCTCCTACGCACCGGTCTCATGAAATAGATGTGTGCGGTGTTCTTCTGCTCTTCTGCATCTAAATGGGAATAATAACCATTTATAATCCTATGGCTATGTGTTTTATATTTTGTTTACATTTGGAGCATGATTATGGATTAAATGAATATCTTATCTATTTATTTATGTTAGCCTTGGAGTGATTTTATCGGGTGGTGAATTGATGGCAGTGTGGTATCACCTGGTCGCCTGTATCTTTGCCATCTTAACATCAAGGACCACAATGAATATAAAGTGGCATTGGGCTACATTGAGTCATCCAGATGACATTGTAATTTGTTTGCTTACTATTACAAGAAGTGTAAATGTCAAAAGGTCAAATAAGCCCATTTTTCTGTGTATGTTCAATTTTCCATGTAGCGTCCTACAAACTGAGTTTAAATTCACGTTGTTGGTTCCACTAAATAACTTTCCCCTGCTTACGTTACGAACTCCTTTGCCCAAACCAGTCTGTCAGAAACCTGAGATGCTCTTTCCGTGCAGGGTGCAGGAATAGCACTGCGGTGACGTGAATTACTCCCCCAAAACGATGCAATATACGCCTTCATAACATTTGTCCTAGTAAGAAAAGCACAGGTGTTACTAATAACATTAACTATGGCTCTGTCCTATTCAAGTGTCCCAGTGTGACAGCATGCACAACACCATAGAAACTGAGCAGCAACATGAAATACAGACATCAATAATCTCTATTTTCACATATCCTCCTGTGGCATGTCTAAATGTCATCCATGGCCATTGCCCTTTCTCCTCTTGAATTTCCGAAGCATTAAGCCGATGGTCGCTCTGTTAGGAGCCTGGATTTAGTTTTTCTCCTTTTGTGTCTCTGCACCGTGAAGCAGTGTCGATTGACTGTGTTTAAAGCACAATACAAATAGAGTTGAGTGCATTTCAAGTTAAGTAAATGCTGCACCATTAACTTAAGTTAATAACATTATGCATCATCACAACAAGGCAAGTTAACTGCCTGCCAGCACTGTAATGTTATGCTAATATATGCTTTATTACGGATGACAAGACACACAAGACATATTGAAATATATATATTTATAGATCCAGGATACACTTTCAAAGGCTATTCTTTATACTATGCAAATGGCTGCATTATTATTTTTTATGTTTGGGGAATTGTATTAATTAAAAAGCTTCAAGTTTACTCTTAGGTCAATTTTTATATGCTAAATTTAAAATACTAACACTAATAAAAGGTGCCCCCTAACTGACAGCATCACTGATGTTTTAACTTATTAGCTAATGTTAAAGTTTGTTTCGCACCTGTCAAATCCATTCATCAATTTAGCTAATAAAACCAAAAACTCCCACTGTTTGCAGACCAACATGACGATTATCTACACCAGATATTACATATTTTAAAGGACAATAACATGTTGGATAAATCAACATCGCCTGTCTCCCGATCATGTGATGAATGAACCCGCCGAACCCTGCTAGCTTAGGTTAGCATCGTCATGACGGAACATTTAGTGTGTAACGCTAAATGCTAACAACAGTGTCGTGTGCACACTTGAGTTGATGTAACGTCCAACGGTTCAAACCGCTTAGCGCCTCGTCAACCTCCTGCTGCTGACAGTTCACCGCAACACCGGTGACGTTAGCGTTCATTAACAGCTAGCAACGGTCGGCTAACTCTGCAGAGCATCGCTCTCGCACAAATGGCACAAATACCGTCGGCTTGTTACCTTAACGCTGTTGTCCTGCCTGTCGACATGTTTGTGTTCTTCGTCAGATATATATATATATATATATATATATTTTATAATCAGCAACGGCTGTGTTGACGCGGCGGAGCTGCTCACTGGTGGGGAAGAGTCGAGCGAGAGCAGGCTGCAGCGTCCTTTCTCCACTGATGATAATGAACAAAATAGATCAACAGCATGCAACCCACAGAGAGAAATGAATGTTCAATAGCTCGCTGTTTCTGCTGTGCCGAGCCAATGTGCTTTTGAATCACATAAATATGAGAGAACCTGATGTAGTTATATAGTTTTTTTTTATCTCAGTGCTTTCCCTTTCACCCGTTCCACTAAGATTAAGTTCAACTTCACAGTCAGCACATTTCAAACACAGCAGACAAAACACGGTCCAATTCAGTGTGGTAGGTTCAGGATACTGAGTATTATCACAGTACTTTACAGTATTCATTGGATATTGTTGCATTAATGCACTATTTAAACGAGAGAATAGTATCCTAAAATATATTGCAGTTGAGTAAATGTACACCTCAGATCAGTTTATTCACAAGCAGACCCCCAGAGGGACCTATATTCATCGCTTGCAGATTGATTAGAGTAATGTCATCGATTGTAAATGTGTTTTATAATAAGCACCACTAAAGCACATCGTAATCTTAATCCTTATGGTCAAAAACGAGACATTAGTGGCACATTAACAGCATACAAATCACATCGGCATATGGCATTATGCAAATTCAGGTCACAGGGGTTTCATTTATTTAAGATTAAGTTAAGATCAGTGAAATGCCTCGGTGTCCCAGTGGTAAAATGAACTACAGTTATCCAAGCCCAGGACTTTGTTTACATTCATATCCTCTTCTCTCCCCGTGTTTGTTGTCCAAAGATATGTCAATGCTAAAATAGCCAGCAAAAGGCAAAAATGAATGAATTCATTGTCATTTTTAGCAGATTTCTGCTTGTAGATATGTTCCCTTACATAAAAAGCGGGTCTTGACATTCACACAAGTGCTAACCCACGGGAACATGATTATAAAAGATAATGGGACAATCAATGTCGAAAAAAAGCTTTTACTTCCTTACAATAAAGACACTGGTACGCATATATGAGAAGAACATAAATCATAGAGCAAACACACCTCAAAGTGCTATAAAATGCTTTATTACAAAATTGTGAACAATGACTCAGCAAGATGTTGTTTAGGCCCATTTAAACCCAACCAAGTTGCATAATTTTGATATCTTATTTTCAAACAAACTTTCCCGGGTTTTGCATAGAGCATAATTTGACTTGAAGTAAAAGTCATGAAGTGAAACTTTATAGAAGAATCATGTACAAGTGTTTTGAAGAAATCAACCCCATCATATACCTTGTATAAATGATACAAAACATCTGTAAATGAGAACGTATCAATTGCAAATAGAGTTTCTTTCACAAGGCACATCTGTTGGTATTAGATACTTTATAAAAAGACACATTCACACCAACGGTCTTCAGACATTTTTCAAAAATATCTACTACAGGAGCCACAGATAGTGGCCAGTTATGTGTAGTAGTGTGTTGAGACAAATGTGAAGATTTCACCAGCGGCAGCCGACACTGTGCTTCATATCTAAACTCTTGTCATTCCCTTGGCTACCTACGAGAAGTGTGCAATTCATATATCACAAATAAATGATTGTGCACAAGACAACATGAGACGTACAACTGTGAGAAGAAGAAAAAAAGAACAGCAGACAAGGCAAGCATCTCTATAGAAAGCTAAGCTTTGTTAGCTTAAGCTTGGGCTTGTGTAATTATTTTGGCTATAAGGCCTCATACCGTATCATTGAACCTATCCAGAAAGAGTTGAATGAGTCGAGTTCAAGCCCTTTTTTTTTATCTTAAGCTGCTGTTGGCAGAAATTTAAGTTATTCTTTTGAGTAGCAAAATGATATTGCTGACCAAAGAAAGACAACTACACTTTCAAAGATTATGGCAGAATGTCTTTGGCAGGACTTTTAAGAAAATAAAGAATGCTACAATCGCATTACAATATGGAAAATAATTAACAGTGTTTCGCTTTCACTTGTGATCATACAGAATAGTGTAAACATGGCATAACACCACTGAATATGTTTTGTGTTTGCTAAGCGTCGGCCTATAATGTACTTGTAATAACTCCTCAAGTTCATGTGCTTATCCTAGCAAAGATGAATGCAAGATCATAATACAATTATCAGTACAAAGATATAAAAATGTCTCTTGAGAAAATCTAGTTATTTAAATTTAACGTAAGGTTTGTGTCTAGAAGAGGGCAAAAAAAACAAAAAAAAAAAAAAACTTGCATAATATGTAATCCAACCTCTATTTAAAACATACAGTATATGTTCCTGCGATTTGTCAAAATAAGCTTTAAAACAAATTCTTTACACACTTTAGAAAAAAAAAAAAAAAAAAAGACATCCCCGGTAAGAATCTAACCCATAACTCGCAATGACAGTCCCAATGTCTACGTTCTACCAGAACAGCAACTGTTACAGACAGGATATGGGACTAAAAGAGAAGGTTCACCCGTATGAGTGTGACGGGCCCTGATATCATAGCTCTGATAAAGTATCTATCTGTCCATTCAATGTCCTCCTGGACAGCTGGAGAGAACCAGCATCAAGCACAGGAACAGTGGCCATTCTCTTACTGGTACCAGGGGGTCTTTCTGATCCAGTGCAGGGTGAAACCGGCATCTGTACGGATCTTAATGGAAGCTGCCTCAGCCTCCCTGACGGTCTCCTTCACAGACTGCATCAGGTTCTGAGCATTGTGCACCAACATCTCGGTAGCCTGCCGAAGAACAAATTAAGATACAGTGATGAGGGCTGCAAAGATCTGCTTCCAAAAGGCTGTTATAGGAAAACTAAGACACTCTTAATAAAGACCCCTCTCACCTGCTCTGACTCCTCTTCACTGATGTTGGTACGACCCAACATGGTGGCCTTGACTGTGGACAGGATTTTGAGCTGAGTGCTGATGGTAGGAATGCGCTCGCACACCTGAAACGAGGTCAGAAAGTCATGCGAGGCCAAGCAAAACAAAGAAAGCATAGTCTTCCACAGAGGAAAAATCCACTGCACAACCCTCCGATAAAGACGACGGAACTGACCTGAAGCAGGTTGGTCCGGATACGCTTGTCGGTGCACTGCTTGGCCACCTCCTTGGCCAGCCGGGTGACTTCATCAGAAGCCTTAGCGATGTCCTTGGCGCATTGGATGAGGGCGCGCTTGTTTCCGCCGCCTTGTCCACGCACCAGACGGGACATCTCAGCCATGAGCAAGGCCATTCGTTTGGCAGCGCCAATGATGTCATTTCCCTGTGAGGTACGACAGGAACATGATCAATCTGAAAGTGTATGATTCCAGCGTAAAAGTCCATTAATCCATTTACAGTGTCCACGTACTTTACTGGACCATTTGCGGGCTTCATCGTGGAGCTGCCTGGCAGCTACCATCATGGGCTCGTTGACCATATCACCGGTCTGCTCAGGGAACTCCTCGTCTTTCTCCTCTGGGGGAGGAGGCCTGGGGGGAGGAACCTCACCCTCAGGAAGAGGAGGTTTAGGTGGTGCTGCCTCATCGTTAAGCTACAAGGACAAGTTAAAGTAATTATGGTTCGACAGTGAAAAAAATGAAACCAAATCAGCTTCAGGTGGTTTGCCAAATTAAACGTTTGTGCTTATCCGAGGGCTTACACTAAGCTGCTCCAGTTCTGGAGGAGGTGGTGGGAAGTCTGGCTCTTGGGGCTGGAAGGCCTCCCTGACCTTTGCCACAGCACCAAGAATATTATAACCTGAGTCCAGAAAGCCCTTCTGCAGACCTGGCAAACGCAAAACAAACTCGCTAATCAGCAGGTTCCACACACATGCAAGACATCATCCTAAAACCGGTGATCAACATCAACTTACTTGGATCGTGGATATTTCCAGCCACCGCTTTAGCGTCCATCACCATAGGAGAAATCGTCTGGCTCAGTTGATCAGACGCAGCCTTCACCATCTCCCTGAATTTAGGATCCTCGGAGTTCTCCACCTCTCGCTTCGCCACCAGGAGGATACGGTTGGCTCTGCGGGCGATGCTGGTGGCGCCGGCAACCAGCATCTGAGGCTGGTGGTTGGCCATGGCCAAACGGCACTTTTCCAGGTCCTTCTTGATGGCGTCTTCCGAGGCATCCAGCAAGGACTTGGTATCGATGGCCTCGTCCACCAAACCTGAACATCCATAACATGTTAATATAAGGAACCACACAATGAGGTACGACATACGGATCACCTGCAATCAGGGGATTTACAGCATCTTTATCACCTGTCATTTTCTCCACATTGTCAATCCACTGATTCTTCATGGTTTCAAAATGTTCGTATGCAGCTTGATTGCCGGGGTTTCTCAGCAGAATACGAGCAGCAGATACCACCTACAAAATATTCCCAGCCGTTAATTGTCAGTCCAACGACAACCGCTATAGACTTGGCTCGTGAAGCGAGAAACACGTACGCTTTGTAACGCGTGATGGAGAGTGGTGGAAACAGATATAAACACTAAACTGTTACATACTTGTGGTGTCAAGTCTCTCGTTGACTTGACAGCAGCCTGGATTCCCTCCACTGTGCTTTTGTTGGCAGTACCCACAGCAGCAGCCTTCTCTGCTGTGGTGCCAAGCTTATTGGCGTGGTTCTGAAAGTTGGCAGCCCGTTCGTCAAAGACCTACACATGATCAAATAAAACAATTATCCGAAAAGGGTCGTTGGAAATAACGCAACACCATGCCCATGAACATAATAACAGCACTGCAGGGAGGCTCATTGCAATGAGATAACAGCGAGGAGCAGAGAGACTGTACCGCTGACCTCATCTCTGTTGGGGGAGTCCAGAGGGGCGGTGGCAGCCACTGCCAGTAGCTTGATGGGGGTGGTGGTGTCACTGAAGATGTCTGACACCTCTTGAGTCATCGC